CTTGCATTCATTTTTGTTGTAATAAAACATATTGAAATTTTGCCGTTTAAGCAAAATGCAACCCATATCATAACTGTCCCTCTTCTAACGTTATGGCAATTCCATCTTTTTTTTTTCAATTCATGCCAATAATACTTAAATAAATCAGGCCCACCTAAGTTAACATTTTTTTCATCGGAAAAAATAACATTTTCCAATTCTGCATTCCATGTCATATAGTCTTTGGCAAACTTAAATTTTGCATTTTATTTTAATTTTATTGATGGTGATTTTGTGATCATTTTTTCCCACTAGAACCATCCTGGTTTTAACAAAATTTAATGTATACGTCTTGTAGTCACAGGTTCAGTCCTTATTTGGCTTACTGTTTGTACGCAACATGAAAGAATGTTACCTTCTGGTTATTTTCTTATTTGCGCCATTAGGGTGTTTTTTTTAAACACCTTCCTCGTGGCATTGTAATAGTTAAATAACTAAAATAGAATGAAAATACACAAAACTTACTTATCGTGTCGTTTGAAAAATTGAGTTCTATCTCCACTTTTTTACGTTGTGAGAATTTAAGTTTTGATTTTTAATTATTTAATTGTTTTACAGTTGTTGTTGTGTATATTAATAAAATATATATTTTTTATGTTGTTTATATTTTATAATGATTTTTACATCATTCATTTCATAATTATTAAAATTGTTTGTTTACAAATCAATTGTTAATTTTAACCTTATTAATTAAGGTTGAAATTGTCAATAAAAAAAAACAGCTAACAATTTTCAAATTTATATAAATAATAATAATAAGATTAATATATTTAAATTATATAATTTTGAACACTAAATAATATTATAAGTAAAAACAGAAAATTAAAATTTTTTTATCATGAACCTTATTATTCACATCTACCGATATGCTATTTTGTCTTATACCAATTTATATAACTTAATGAATAATAAATGTTTATTCTAAGCAATAAATTCAACAAACTTGATATTTTAATCTTTTAATTTAATGAATTTAAATTTTTTTTACTTTTTTTTTTAAACAAACTGATGGAGCTCTGGAAATTTTGCGTGAAAATATACCGGATTTTAAAAACATTCAATTATCCACTTGTTTATAATTTGTCACTTTACTTCCACTTATGCACACTATGACCATATGTGGGCCACATATAGCTTTCTTGTAGGGACCACATGTGGGTCATATATACCGTTTTTGTAGGGATCACATGTGAGCCACATATACCTTTCTTGTAGAGATCACATAAACAAGACAAAAAATAAAAATTTATATTATACTTAAAATACATATTTTCTTATTTCAAACTGACTTTGGCGCCAAGTCTGAAATGGCGCCCGACAAACCGTCATTAGGTTCATGATTCTTTGAGTCTAATGATAATTATCACTAATTCTAACGCCATGGTGTAAGATTATGATCAGCTCCGAGGATGTTTATATGTTCAACAAGATAATGCAGCAATCATCCATGTTATGAGCAAAAAAAATATGCTGACCTCATTTTTCGTCTGCTTAACTTCAGAAAGTTAAATCTACTAGGTGGTTATCCATAAACAATTAATCTAAATTTTAAATAGTAGTTTTGAAGCAGTTGATACTGAGAGAACTAACAACTTTTTTTGGTAATGTGTTCCATGGGTATTCGTTGCGTTTGTTGAAGAAGTTGAAAGGTACGAGGAAATTGTTAACAAATTCACGATAAAAACGCTATGATTTGCTCTCTTTCTTTAACAGTCAAAATAATATTTTGACTGTTAAAGAAAGAGAGCAAACCATAGCGTTTCATCTTTTAGGTAGGTAATTAGCTTTGCCTTTACCAGAACCCGGTCAATTATCAAGCATGTCTAAGGTTTTAAGTAAGTGATATTGGCGATGGTTTGTTCAAATCGTTAGTGGACATGTTGAAGTGTTGAAATTACTATTACTAAAACTTTTATTTTAAATTGATATTTTCTTACCAAGCTGAGAAAAAACAAAAGCAGTTTTTTATTTGAACTCAAAAGTAAAAAATACAAAAATATAAAAAGACACAAAATTCAGGCAGTTAAATCGTAATTGTAAAGTACAGAATGGGCATGATAATAATTATAAGTTTAATTAAATTATACTTTGTTATATTAAAGTAATACTTAAAGGCTGTCGTAATAAAATAAACTTTCTGTAATTAAGGGTATATTATACACAATACAGTAAAATAACATTTCTTAAGCTATTCATCCTTTATTTAAAATAAATGAAAGTGTCTTTCATTTATTTTAAACAAAGATTATTAATACTAATTTTTATAAAAGTTATTACAATTATTTATCTGTGTTACATTTTAAAAATACTAAGTGACTAACAGTGTCAAAACTTAAAATTGCACACTTAGGGCTCATAATCAGGCTACCCTGACTGAATACTCTTTCAACAGTAGCACTGCTTACAGGTACCACAAAAGCATATATTACAGTATTTTTGAGAACTGGTAATTTTTGCCCACTCATTTTTACCAAATTTGGAGAAAGTCTATGTCTAGAGTGTCGGAATTAGATGCAACTACTTCCTTGATCAGTTCCTTATAGCAATAAAACTGAGTATCTATATGTGACTATACAGTCCAACAATAGAGGAAACTACTTGTTAATTTGGTGCCTTCAAATAATGGTTGCAATAAACTAACAAGTTCTCTAATTGGTATTCCTTTTTATTTAGTATTAGATTGCGGTAACTTAAATCATCAAGTAGGTTTTTCAATTTCTTTTCATCCAAAGTGACAATGCTTTTTATGTGACGGAATGTGGAATTCCATCTTGCATTTACTCGAAGTAGGGAATACCCTGCTAGGAGCCAAATATTTTGTCAAAAACCTCTTTAAATTTTTTACTAGTATGAACTAAAGTGCATATTTTGAATGCTTTAGCTTGAGCGGAGTAATTTTTTGCCTCTTTGAGGCCATCACCAATAGCTAATTGAAGGGCGTTAGCAAAACAACTTAGTCTGGTAATCTCTCGTTTGATGAATGCAATGTCAAATGATGAATACAATGTCATTCTCAAATTCATTTTTATAAGCTTAATTTAAAAACTTAGATTCACCGCACCCCCTCATTTTATTCCGTTGTCCAATACCTAAAAAATTGATAAGGCGATTTAATTCAGCCAATCTACTCTGGTCTGCCGAATGTAATTACCCCAATTTATTTTATTTAAAAATGTTTCAAAACAAAATCATTAATCTTAAATAATAAATAAATAAAAATAAATATTAATTGCAAAACTTTTGCAAAAACGTACTTTTTTTTTAAAACGATTTTAATATAGCTTATAGCTTTTTTAAAAACCTTTTTTTTTTGTATTAACTACATTATTAATACACATTAATGATATTTATTTACATTATTTGTTGTATATTAGTAATATTGTTATTCTACCGCTAGTATTATTAGCTGTAATGCAACATTATTAGCATATTTTTAACTGCTTTGTTTAATTACCAAATATTGTTTATTTTAATTTGTCTGTTTTAAAGTCTGTTCTTAATCTCAAGCAAAATAAGTCTTATAGTCTATTATAGACTGAATTCGATGTTGTATATAACTACATGTATATATAATTATATAAAACATAATATATATATATATATATATATATATATATATATATATATATATATATATATATATATATATACATATATATATATATATATATATATATATATATATATTTATATAACTACACATATATATACATATATATCTATATCTATATATATATATATAATATATAATATATATCTATATATATATATAAATATATAATATATATATATATATATATATATATATATATATATATATATATATATATATATATTATATATATATATATACACACACACACACACACACACACACACACACACACACACACACACACACACACACACACACACACACACACACACACACACACACACATATATATATATATATATATATATATATATATATATATATATATATATATATATATCTATATATATATATATATATATATATATATATATATATATATATATATATATATATATATATATATATATATATATATATATATATATATATATATATATATATATATATATATATATATTCAAAAAAATAGTCATTTAATTATTTGGAAAAAAAAAATCACCTAAATATGTCTTAAATTCATATTTTAAATTTTAATGTGTTAAACTCATATAAAAGTAATTCAGGACAATTTAATAGAAATGCATGTGATATTATTGTATATTACTTATAATAAAAAGAAATTAGGATTTGTAATTTTCTTTTTTAAGTTTTAACTGTATTAGTTTTTTAATTGGTCAACCTTTGTTTCTTATAATTTTTTGCATCTAGAAGACATACTATCTATGTCTTTTTTCATATGCCCATTTGACAAAGCATTCTAACTAACAAGAAGAATTTAGAACAGTTCATTTGTTTCCCCTATATCTTGTAATTTTTGTATCCAATATAGACCAAAGGTTTTCTATTGGATTTTAATTAGGAAACTGTGTTAGCCAAAATATTACTGGTATCAGTTTAAGTTCTAACTATCTTTTATTCAACTGTGTCGTATATTTTGGATCATTAACTTGTTGAAAGGTTTAGTCATTATTTGGAAAAACTTGGTCCAAGTTGATTAGCCAAGATTTTGTGATACAAATATATTATATAAATTTACATAAAATGCATTACATAATTTAACATAAAAAATACATACATAAATTTAGCCCATTATTCACATGTCTATTTTTCGTGCTCAAAACACTAATTTATTTTTTTTTGCATTTGTTTTCACTAAAAAAAAATTTTTTATTTGCTTTCCATCAAAAAAATATTGTCAACTTTGAGATTGGTAAGGTTCAAATCTAGTTTTTTCTCAGAACATGTGATTTTATGATCTTATTTGATGGTGTTAAGAATGGAGCAATCTTCCTTTTTTGAAGTTTTATGCTCTCTCCCAGATTCAACAGACTTTTCAGTTTTAGCAGTATCTCTTCACCAATCTACTATTAGTAGAGTTTTGTAGTTTAAAACACTTTCCAATGCTTCTATGAGACTCTCCTTGGTCAGCAGCTTCAATAATTTGTCCAATTTCTATATTAGTAAGTTGTCTATATATATATATATATATATATATATATATATATATATATATATATATATATATATATATATATATATATATATATATATATATATATATATATATATATATATATTATATATAATCTTTTAACATAAGCTTATCTTGACAGTTTAATTTTGTTTTGTATATTTGTTAATAGTTTTTTTTCTATGTATTTAAAGTTATATCTTATATAAAGTTATCAAAATTATATCTTATATAAAGTTATTAAAGTTATAAGTTATATATAAGTCAAGTTAAAATTAATTTCTTTAAATATCTGTTTTTTTAAGACTAAGAATGTCTCAGCAATGGTACACATTAACAAAAAGGTATATGAATTAAATGATATTAAGTTTTAGAGTTTTTTTGTTTGTTGCTTGTAGGAGATTTTTTTACAAAAACTATATTTATTATTTTTTAAAGTTTGGCTTCAGCAGTTGATATAATTAACACTATTGAAGTTGGTAAGCTAACTAGACTATGCAAAAGAGTTCTTGAAACTATACATTTGAAGGTATTATATATTTATGAGTTAAATTGATGCTAAATGATGCTAAAACTATTAGTAAATAATTTTTTATAGAGGACTAAAGATCTCTTAGGGTTATTAGACCCTTATAAGAAATTATTTTTATAGAGGTCTGTTCCTAGAATTGTTATACAGGCAACTGCAAAGGCAAGCTAGGTTAATAACAAACCTGATGATGAGTTAATCTTATGAGTCTTATATACTAACCCAGTCTTCTCCGTTTGAAATTTAATGCCAGTGCTCAAAAAAGCACTGGCATGATGGTCATTTTTAAGTTAGCCTGCGCGATTTAAAAAATTCTTTTTTTTCCTGCTATTTAAATTAAAATAGCGAAATTAATGCTTTGAATAAATACTAGATAAAATAACCTAAAAATAACTGGTAAAAAAAGCCTTTTTTATAAAAGTTGAACAAATGAACAAAATAGTTTTTTTGCAATTTTAATTTTTATCGCTTTCATTTTTTTAGCAAGCGCTTTTTTACACTTGCCAAAGTTTTTGTGGGTATGTGGGCGAGCGCGAAAAGTCTTGAACGCAAAAGCGCTGACTCAACGGAGAAGACTGCATATCCATATGAATTTAGGTAAAACTGATTATTTTTATTATTGTTATTATTGTTTTTTTTTTCTGTTTACAATATAAATATTTTACAAGTGTTTCAGTTATATAAATTTGTAATATATAAAGTTGTATACTTTTAAATATACACAATTATAAAATATATGTAAACAGATAGCTCAAAGAAGGTATGGATAATAAAAATATTATCAAAATCTTTTCATCATCTTTTAATCTTCAAAATAATGTTTTCAGAAAAAAAGGTAGAAATAAGGATACATTTATATGTATATATATATATATATATATATATATATATATATATATATATATATATATATATATATATATATATATATATATATATATATATATAATATATATATATATATATGTTTATATATATATAGCTTTTATATAGCTATCATGATAACAGGATTTTTTATAGCTTTTATATAGCTATCATCATAGCAGGATTTTTTGATGTTTTAGATAGGACAATTTCTTACATCGTGCAAACTCCAAGCCTAAGTATGTTCATACCTACGCCAAACAAGGAAACCTAACAAAAATTTGGGATGACGGAGGTCTAAGAACAAAAAAGCCCTGAAATGCTTGATCCCCCCCCCCCCCCCCATCATATACAATAGCTGATCATCTGCCTTTCTTAAGTTTTTAGATGAATGGGATCTTCATCCTAAATATTTATTACAATGTTTCATGGATGATCTTAATGTTAAAAAGTTGTTTTTACAAACGTCTTATAAAACACTGCAGTCACAAAACATACAGCTAACTATTGATATTTACTCTCTATCCCATTCATACAGTCTTCATGAAAAGAGTTAAGTAAGTATGTACTTAAACATACTTGTTTAAGTATTTTTATTTTTTTGTAGAAAACTTTCAACAAATTAAAAATTTAATCTTTTTAATTATTTTTCATAGGATGTTATTTTAACTATGATACAATTTTTTTTTTGTTCATGTTTTACATAAAATGGTAGCTAGCAAAAAATCGCGGTCATAACATCGCGGTTATGACAAAATAATTTACTATCAGATAACATTACATTTTAGGTATTTTTAAGGTATATTTTAGCATTGCCAAAGTTTTTAAAAATGTATAAACAATTTAAACAATGTTTATAGTTATCCTTAGAAAAATAAAATAACATCAACAAGTTTATTATTTTAATAAATTACTTTATTAAATTGCAATATTAAAGATATATTTAAATAAACTAAACAAATCAATATAGTACATAACGATTTTTTGTTTGCTGTGTTATTTGTCTGAGTGGTGATATTTTTTTCATGCTAAAAATTTCATTCTTAACTTTCCAGTAATGGTAAAGTTGTTATTCTTCAACCTTTTCTGCCAGCAGTAAAGTATCGCTTAGCTGACTATAATGTTGATCAATTCAGCAACAGTGAAGATTGTTATTTAAGATTGAGCACTTTGAACTTGTTCTTGATAAGTACAGCAAAAGTTTTGGCTAAAATCAAAGTGTATTAATAATTCACCATCCATAATATTATCTATTTGGTGGTGATAAGCAGATGCTTTGTAATGTTTAATTAAATGGTGAATTCATAATTGAGGTAGTGTTTTCAAAAACTTTGTATATGTTGTATAAAAAGACTGTTTCATCAATCCCTGGTGTAGACACTTTGTAACCTTGTCTTTGTACCAATTTATGTAACTGACTTCAATGCATTCTTCGTTTTGCTCTTTGGATGGTGGTAGCATTCAGTTGTTAGGACAGTTAGCACAAAAACTACATAACAGTAAGAGGCATTATGGAGTGAGAAGGCTACAAAGAAACTATTTGTCTACCCAGTTTTTGTTATAAGGATCAAAATTAAAGTTTCAGGGTAAAACGTTGCATATATTAATAAAATTTTCATGAATTAGACAGCAGCAGGTTTCCAGAGGCGATATGTGAGTATTTGAGCTAGACGAAGTGCACAAAATTAGGAAAATTTCATCTTGTTGTTAAATTCTTCAGAGTACAGCGCATAACATGCTCTTAAGTCACAAGTAACGTTTTTGAAATTTTTTACCATCAATTTTTATAAAGTCTTTCATACCTGGAGTCCATTAAGATATTTCTTCGCGGTTGTAAAACTCTAGTTCATGGTTGAATTCACTAGAAAATAAACGAATGTGCTTTTTTATCTTTGATATATCTGGCAAAGATATGTTTATTTCTATTACTAACTGTTTAATAACTTAAAATCTGCTTTTCGTGGCGACTTTGGTAAAGCCAATTTAACGCAGTTCACAGCAAGCCCTTCTGACGAACTTGAATGATTGGCGGGTTCTTCCAATTGACTAGAAGAAAAGCAAGGAATATCAATGGTACCTTGAGCTTTTTGAAGATTTCTGTGTTTACGCTGTCGTAATTTAGCAAGCTCCTTATTTCGCAATTCTTGCTTTGGTGTTGATTGTTGGTGACGAATATTACTTCGTTCTTTTTCTATTTCTTTTAATTCAGTTTTCTTTCTTTCTCTTATAATCATTACAAATTTGTTTGTGTGATTTGGGCATTTTTTCAATATTTATATGTTTCCTGTATTTTTATGTAGAGTATGCCAAATAAGTTACATTTTAAATTTGTTCATAATCTTTAAATACACAGTTATATCAATTGTGTAAATTACTCTTTATAACACATGTTTTAATTAAGGTTTATTGAATTAAATCTTCTTCGTTGACACATTTGAACATCTATACGATGCATTAAAACATTGAAATGATGGATTTAAACATCGAAAGGGCACAAAATATAGAAAAATTCATTACGTCGTAATCGTGACAAAAAATAAATTGCATTTTACTTTTTTCCAGACAAAGATATTATAAATTTTTTTTACATGCATATTCATTTCAACTAAAATGCTTTTGCTAAATATTTTCTAATTAAAAAAAATTAAATTTAGGTTGTATAAAAAAACTAAATTTGTTATAATAGTCGCGGTCGCAATGGTGAAAAACATAATAATAATATCACTTATTAACAAACTTATTTAATCGTTAATGATTATTCTGAGAATTAAAAATTAAAAAAAAAACGTTTAACATAACTCCATATTAAGAAATTCATGTTTTTTATATCATAAAATATTAAAAATGTCTACCAAACATCTCCTACACATGCATAAAAATAAATGACAAAGTAAAGATATTTTTTTTTAGATGCACTAATGTGTCTGTTAAGTTAATTTTAAAAAATCTATTTCAGTTTAAATTTTTTTGAAATAATTATGGCAATCTTATACAGAATGACTCATTAGTAACATAAAACATATTTAAAATAAAACAAAGTAAATAAGTTTTTTTTAATTCGGGTTCACTCCCAACAAGGCTGCAAGCAACCATTGTGGGGGTTAATAGGAAAAAAAATAGAGTTATAGAGCTATAAGAAGTTATAAGGGAGCAGTTGACAGAAGACTTAAAAGGTTGAAGGTTGCATGAGTCAGGAAAACATGAATATAGGAGAGAGGTCCAAAGGGTTGAAATGCGGGGAAAAGAGCTAGACAAATAAAAGTTTTTGGAGCATGCAGAAACAGATACAGTAAAAAAATGAGACTTTGATAAAAGGCAAGTCATGTGAAAATGAGTTTTAGTTGATGGAACTAGCGATGAAAGCTCCTTTGTCCATGATAGTATTTGTAGAAAAAAGAAAGAGATGCAACTTTACCACATTGGGAAAAAGGCTCAAACTTAGTGGTTGTTTTTTGTTTACAATACATTTTTGGACCTTTTCTAGAAGAGAAAGAACATTATTAGAAGAACCAGCCCAAATATGACAACAGTATTCCATACAGGGACGAATAAGAGATTTGCAGAGGTAGAGAATAGAATCAGGAGAGAGAAAATGACAAGCACGATAAAAAGAAGCAACCTTAGCAGATACTAATTTAGCAATCGATTCTATATATGGTTTCTATAAAAGGTCAGTAGTAAATGATAATCCAAAAGGTGTAAAGAAGAGGACTCAGTGAGAGAGTTGCCATTCATCAATAGGAATGTTGACAATACTAAGATAGTTGTTTGCAGTAAATAACTGAGTTTTGATGGAGTTAAAATTTACAAGCTTTTTTGAACCCCAATCAGTTACTGAAGTGAGGTCAGATTCAAGATTGGCTGCCTGTTCTAAGCACTTGAAAAGAGAAGAGTTAATCCGCAAAAAGAGTTGTAAAGTTGTAGAGAATATCATTAATTTAGATAAGAAAACAAAATAGGGTCAAAGAACTGGAAATAAAGAAGAGCATTGGACTTCAAGGATGACTTTAATAAAGCGGTTAGAAAGAAATGATTTGATAATCTCAAAAATTTACCTCAGATACACCATATGAAACAAACTTATGAAGAAGACCAACATGCTAAACTTTGTTGAAAGCCTTAGATATATCAAGAGC